CATGATATATGAACTTAAGCGGTGGATAGCATAAAAATGTAAAGGAACTGACGTATAATGCCTTGAATCAGAAATTTCATCACCTTACTTTTTTTATTACTCCCAAACTGTGTCCAATAAAAACAAATCAGCCCAAAACGAAATAAAAGAACACACACTGCTATGTACAATCTGGTAAAGACATATAAATATAATGAGGAGCGTTTTGACTCCTTAGTAAAACATCAATGTGAGTGTCAGCGTTCAATACCAGTTTCTTCAGAGTCGATGTATGCTGATATTATTACACCACCACCAAAAATTTATGACAGTGCCATAGCAGAGGAGATTAAAATAAAAAATAATTCAAATATTTAAAAAAAACTAATGTGATTGTGTATAGCGACGACATGGGAAAAATCTAGTAGTCCTCCCTTAATTGCGTTCACCGCTTCACCATTAATTCCAAATCCATTACAACATAAAATTCAAACCACCGTCGATAATACGACGAAGTGTTTTGCTTCTAAACAAGGCATCCTCAGAGGAAATATACCCTGGGTTTGTGATTTTATTGTATCCCAAGTATATGGAATAAATGTCTTTAGGCATTTTCTATCAGTCAATTTTTTGAGTGGTAAGACTTTAACGTAAGTGCAGGAAAAACAAAATAGAATAATAAACACAACGGATAAGCAATTTCAAGGCGCCAGCGGGAACTCATCTTAGTTTGCTCGAATAATACGAAATTTTAGGAGAGTGTTTTCTCCTTTAGGCTACACGCATTACGTGTACTAACTATATAACACCAGAATGAAGATTAATGCATCTTAAATGCATATAATAGCTTAACGGCATTAAGAATAAAATTCTTTACAATTCATCGCTTAGACTAAGATATGGATTTGTGGAAAAAAAATCGGTGAGGATAATCTACACAATCTATATATCTATAACATCCCTTACGTGTCGTAAAAGGTAACGGAGGTAAAATAAAATAACAGATGAAGAGCAGTATCTTCCTAATAATTCAAAATAATAAAAAACTGCGGTTGCCAACCCACCTGCCAAGCGTTATAACAATGGTAAATAATAATAATAATTTACTCTAGTGCTGGACAGATTGAAAGTGATCGTTTTGACACATTAATATATGGGGGCAATATCTTTCAACGACCTTAAAAAGCACTTCACCTCGGCACCTATAGGTGAGAACTCTACTAAATATATAACTATTTCACTTATCTGATCTCTTGACAAAACCGATGCAAACTGCTTTGCTTCTTCTCCAATAACTGATGAAGATGTTCGTAAAATTATTTACTTCATTAAATCTCAAGCAGCTGGCTATGATGATGTGAGTAGATATATGATTTTTCCCATACTTGATAACATTCTCCCAATCATTATCTACATCATCAATTTTTTTTCTACTGGGCTTTTTACATCTTTTTGGCGTAAAGCTAAAGTTTTTCCTTCCTCTTCCCAAGTTAGATAATCCCAGTTCTGTTAACCATTTTCGACCAATTTCTATACCCCCTTTTTTTCAAAGATTTAAGGATCAGCTGCACACAAACAGATATCCAGCTACATATATAAAATAAACTTCTTAGTCCTTTAAAATCTTATTTTCGTCCTGGACATAGTACAACCATAGCTTTCCTTAAAGTTCACGAGGGCGTACGAGAGGATATGGAGGAGTCAAAATTAGCAGTTCTCGTTTTAATTGATTTCTATAATGCCATCTGTACAGTCTATAATGACATTCTTCTTGATATCTGTAAATACATGGGTTTCTCTTCGTCAGTGTTGGATTGGTCTGATCCTGCTACTGGCGTTCCACAAGGCGGAATTCTTTCTCCTTTATTATTTTCTATTTTTATAAATATCAAAACTGTAATAATTTCAAATGCTCCTACCATCTGTATGCTGACGATTTACAGCTGTATGCTCGGATTGATCCATTAGAGCTCAACTCTGCAATCGTAATTTTAAATCTAGATCCTCATGCCATCTGTGATTGGTGCACATGTTATGGAATTGTTAAAGTTGGTATATCTTATGGAATTGTTGTCAATCCTGATAAATGTCAAGCCATAATTATCGGTAGTCCTTGTCGTCTAGCTAAATTTGATTTCAATTCATTGGAGCCTATTGTTTACAATAGCACAAATATTCCTCTTAGATATGTAGTTAATAACCTTAGGTTAATTATTGATGCTAATTTAAGTTGGCAATCTCAGGTAGCTGAAATAAGGCGGAGAGCGATAATCATCCTGCGTGGCCTTTATCGTTTCAAGAATTTCCTTCCAACCAAAAATACTAAGGCTATGTTGGTGCGAACACTTGTTTTACCGGTCATTGATATTGCTGATGTGTGTTACCCTGATGTGAGTCAAGTACTTCTGTGTGTATTTTAAGCATTAGTGTATTAAGAACAATCAAAGAATACCAGCATAAAACAGCCGCTCAATGCTGCTGTGTTTCGTATTGTAAGTGTAGAGAACCGGAGACACATTTTACTGGAAACAAGGCATTCCATCTTAGTCCTCACGGGTGACAACGCATCTGAATTTTGATTCGTAATTGAGGATAGATGTAGATGTCTATGAGCCACAACAACCACTTAGCATCAAGTGGACAGTGTGCTCGCTTGTTACCGTAATCCTATAAAAAAATATTAACCAGTGGGCATGTTACGGGTTGTTTTAAAGATCATGATATCGATAAATCTATACATATATATAAAATTCAAGTTTACAGACACTGTTATATCAAATAACTTGTTTCTATTAAGCTCATGGGATTATTTGCATGCTATTGAGATTATGTAACCATTTAAACAAGTTGCAGCCGTTGAAGAGACCCACTACTTGTTTCACCGGTTGAATGTAACGATGAACGATGCACGAACAAAAGCAAATAAAGAAATTTCTTTCTTCCTTTTTTTTCTTATTTCAACCCATTTTTATTAAAAAAAAAACTCACAGCAACCTACGTGTGTCAGTACATTATTATAAAATAAATAAGTGAAATAATAAAACATTCAATTACTGAACGGTCTTTCAAACAGTAACATTTTTATATTTGTCAATAAAATAATCGTATAATATATTAATGCTGAGAGAATTATTAAATTTACGTAAATATTTTATTGACAATAAAATACATATTGACAAACAACGTTATTTCAATTCAATCTTATTTTATTACTAGCAGCTAAATTGTTTAGATATTGTCAATTTGCTGGCTCAAAAACAAAAAATAGAATTATGAAGTGTAAATATTTTATTTAATACCAGTGACCTGTCCTAGCTTCGTCTGGGTAGGATCTATTATTAGCGTTATTTACTTTTAAGATAATCAAAGATCCTTTATGGTATTTAAGTATTCATGAATAATAATATTTTGTTTATTAAATATTTATTATTTTACCTATAATTATTTGCTTTTATATATAATGCCTTAATATATATATACTAACGATGAAAGAGAACAACCACCTTTTTTAAAATAATTTTGTTTAAAAGCTTACGTAAGCTATTAATCGAACATCGACTAAGTGCCAATTTTATAAAAGCCATGTGTGAAAATAAAATCGTAAAAGGCCCTCACGACACAGGCATGCCTTGTGTGGGGACCACAGAACTACACACCCTAGTTTATACACTCGAGGTTAGTTGGTGTGATCATATCATAGATTATAATTATATACTAGAGAAATAAAATTTGCCGTACTTCCATTTTTTTTAATCTTATATCGTAAATTATAATCTGTACCACCTTAGCTATGCATAGACATAATATAACTACAAGATGGCTCTCCCACCTTAAAACTAAATATAATAATTCATAACTATTAAATATATATATTAATTTCTACTAATATACATATATAGTCTAGTTTCTGTGATGTTAATGCTGTTAGCCTATGCGGCTCTTACAGCTTAGTCAAACTCAGAACATTAAAATTGATAATCTCGAAGGAGTGGGATAATATTATGTTCAGTGATCGCATCATCATAACATCAACATCAAATATTCCTCGATGTCGCCGAAAACCGCAACATTACATGGGTGAGTTGTCTAACCGCCGTCTGAACAAGGGAGCGGACCCCGGTTCTGATGGCTAACTCGTATCATTCGATGTTCTGGGCGGTGAGAACTGCCCAGGGACGCGGGTGTACGGTGTGTACGCGGTGTGAAGAAGGGGTGTGCGGCGGGCCCGTCTACGGATTCGCTGCGTCCGTTGTTGTCCTAACAGTATTTGTGGTACTAGGTAAATGTGTAGTGTTTAATTGTGACTGGCCGGCAACATTTCGGTCGTCGGCATCTAGCAGAGCAGGGGGTTCGATTAGAACGTTGCGGTGTCTTCGAAGGGTTAGCGTAACGTTCGGAGTCGGAGCATAGGTGGCTGCGTTTACCACTAGCGGGTTTGGATTTGTCTCGGCCCTCTCGAAATAGCGCCGAGACATATCCTTGAAACATTCAGAGATCGTCGAAAGTTGACAGTCCCTGTGTAAGTCAGAGTTTCGCTGATACAACCGTGCTTCGGAGGCTATGCGAATTTACCTATTTTGGACAACTTGGAGGTTATATAAATGATTGTGGTTTAAAAATTATTGTGGTTTATGTGTGCAAAAATTACGCTTGCGTAAGACATGACAGGTCTTACGCACGCTTTATAAAGATGGTGTTTATGTTTTAAGGACAGTTTGCTCCTGCTGTTCACTAGCGGGTGGAGGCGACTAATGACAAATTTGGCACGGTTGCGAATATGTTTCGCGAATGTCATACCGTGGTCAAATGTGACCCCTAGATATTTGGCCGTTGATTGTCAGGGGATCTGGTGGCCGTATAGGGTAATCATACCGAAATTTTCTTGGCGTTTCTGATTTGACGGTTGAAAGTGGAGACCTTTGAAAACATATTGCTACACTTTTCTTAGGATTCACTGCGATTCTCCATAAGGGGAACCAATCGCTTAGCCGGTTGACGACTGTTTGGCGCATCTTGGTAAGGTATCTGTGATGAGCGACGAAAAGTGCCATGTCATCTGTGAAAAGAGCTATATTCACTACTGGGTGCTTCGGGAAGTCACTCGTGAAGAATGTGAAGAGTAGTGGGGAGAGGACGGCACCTTTTGAGACTCCAGCCTTGAGGGAACGCTTTGTAGAGCGAATACCCTCTATTCGATAGCGAAAGTGGCGATTGGCAAGAAAGGCTCTGATGATGTAGATGATAAACTCAAAATGCCTGATACTTATACATCTTGTAAAGCAAGCCGTCGTGCCAGACTTTGTCAAACGCTTTTGCGACATCGAGGAAGTTAGCACCGGTAATGGTGGTTTTGCCACAACTTTGTGGAAGGTTTAATGCTTTCAGTATGTTTTCTGTAAGGCGATATAACTTGTCGGTGCACGAGTGTTCAGGTCTAAAGCCGAACTGCTCGGCTGAAAGAAGCTAGTTGATGAAGACGTATTTACGGAGGCGATTCAATATGAGTCATTCGTAAACTTTCCCCAGTGTGCTGAAGAGGCTAATTGGTCTATAACTAGAGGCTAAGTTTCTCTGGTTTCGGGATTCTTATTAGTTCTGGCGAGTACATCACTCACCTTCGTTTTGCCGACGATATAGTCCTTATGGCAGAATAGCTGGAGGACCTAAGCACTATGCTCAATGACCTCGATAGTGTTTCCCAACGGATAGGTCTTAAGATGAACATGGACAAAACAAAGATCATGTTTAATGTCCATGTCACACCTATGCCGGTAGTTGCTGGGAACACTAAGCTCGAAGTTGTTGACGAGTATGTTTACCTGGGACAAATAGTCCGACTAGGTAAGTCCAACTTCGACCGAGAGGTCAATCGACGGATTCAACTCGGTTGGGCAGCGTTCGAGAAATTACGGCACATCTTCTCGTCAGGTATACCTCAAAACTTGAAAACGAGACTGTACACCCAGTGCGTGTTGCCAGTGATGACATACGGAACTGAGATGTGGTCCTTCACTGCTGGCCGGATGAGGAAGCTCAAGGTCGCTCAACGAGCTATGGAGAGGGCTATGCTCGGAGTTTCTCTGCGTGATAAACTCAGAAATGAGGATATCCGCAGTAGAACCAGAGTGACCGACATAGCCTAACGGATTAGTAAGCTGAAGTGGCAATGGGTCGGCCATATAGCTCGAAGAACCGACAACCGATGGGGAAGAAAGGTTCTCGAGTGGCAGCCTCGTACCGGCAGGCGAAGTGTAGGGCGTCCCCCCACTAGATGGAGTGACGACCTGGTAAGATATGCAGGAAGTCGATGGATGCAAGTGGCTTAGGACCGTGCTTTGTGGCATTCTTTGGGGGAGGCCTATGTTTAGCAGTGGACTTGTGAAGGGCTGTAATGATGAATGATGATGATGATTAGTTCTACCTCTTTCCATGCATCCGGGCATGAGCAACTCGAAAGAAGAGCGTTGAATATGCCTACTAGGAGGCAAACTAGCGGCGTGGAGAGAGATTTTAAAAAGCATGTTGCTAATGCCATCAGATCCAGGTGCTGATTTCTTTTTAAAGCTTTTAATAAGCAGATCCTCAGCTCAGTATTGAGGCAGACTCCGAGAAACTGAAGAAGGTCATCTCGGAACTCAATGGCAAGAGTGTTGAAGAGCTGATTGCGTGAGGTCGTGAGAAGTTGTCATCCATGCCCGTCGGTGGTGCAGCGCCCGTGGCAGCGCTCGCCGCTGCTGCAGCGCCGGCAGCTGAGGATAAGAAGGAAGAGAAAGAGACCAAGAAGGAAGAATCTGAGTCTGACGATGAAGATATGGACTTCGGTCTCTTCGACTAATCGGTTTTTAACATTTGTGCGGCGCACGCGGTTTTCATTCCAATTTTGGTATAAGAGTTATAATTTCTGTGACTTCGTAGACAGTCACAGGTTCTAGGAGGTCACCCGCAGGTAGTATTGCAAACTTAAGCTCGAGCTCTGCTTTGACCTCTATAAAGCGGGCGAGATCTGTAGGTTCACTAGCGGGAGTACATTGGCTTTATAAACTGTCAGCGAGACATTCCGGCCTTTTCGGAGTCGTCAAAGGTAAGATAGGGGTTTTTTGACCTGATGAGAAGCGATATAGGTGAGGATTGTTCTGTTTTTAGAGCTCGCGGCAACTGCCAGAAGGCAGTTAGCACTTATAGCTAGAAGGCACTTATCCTGCCTAAACTCTTTTACGCGCTGTTTCACCTCGTTTTGGAGGTTGCGCAGTCGGAATTTGTTATCTAAAATATGATAGTGATCGTATTGTTTTAGAACTGCGTTGCTTTCTGTAATCTGTTGTCGAATACCACTCGAAAGCTTCATGTATTGATTGCTTGGCACACTAATCCTACGAGAGCATTCCTCAACTGCAGAGGTGAGGTGGGCCTATAGGGCGCTAATCGCCTCATTGGCCTCCTCCGCCGTGTCCATCTTATCCGGGATTTTGACTAAGTGCGAGGAGGTCGTAGACTCGAGTTTGATCTCGAGTTTAGGCCAGTCCACGATGGTTTTGGTCTAAAATACCTCACCTGCGGGCTGGCCCATCTGCATTGGGATGAGGTCCAAGTCGAGTTCTAATATTGTTTTAATTGACAATATTAACAAACGGACGTCTTTGAGTATCGTTACGTCAAGGACGACCTGTTGGTGACTGGTTGCGAATGGGTAACGGTTTGGAGTCTCAGGTGCGATAACATCGAAGTTTAGTCGCTCCGTGAGATCGAACAATGCGTTACTATTGGGATTGCTTGTAAGCGAGTTCTAGGAGGAAAGCTTATTATTGAGGTCTCCAGCTATTAAGACACTAGAGGCTAGGTTAAATAATTTTGCAAAGTCTGATTCAACTTTGCGCTTGAGTGGCGGTAGATAAGCTGATACGATCTTTTGTAGTAGATCAATTTGCCTCCTCTAGGGCTGGTTAAACTATAATTTCTAACTAGTGTGTAGTTTGCGATCTTAGGATCGCGATGGCTAATCTTTAAAAGGGTCTCTTGTACCAGCATGACGTCTACATCACGTTTACGCAGGAAGAGCGCGATCTCGTCTTTTTGATCTCTAAGGCGGTTCGCGTTAAAGAACGCGACAGTTAGAGAGTGTGGTTTAGTTCTACCTTAAGATTGTACTGCCATTTTGATTTTTAATTAAGATATTTAGGCGCACTGGAAATAATATATTACGTTGATAAGTCCTATGTATTCAATCGTAGCGACGAGCTTGTCCTGAGGTGAAGTAGCTCCGCGGAGTTTGCGAGCCAAGAAAGATAACTCAGCAACGTTGATGTTGCTGATGAAGCCACAGACCAACCAGAAGTCAGCGGCGAAGGACGACCAGCGTTGTGGGACAGGCTTCGGTTTTGGGGCTTGGAGAGGGGGCACTGACTGTGAGGCGATTAGTGCCGGCGGTTTCACCGAAGTGTTGGGTTTTGGCGCGAAAGGCGCGGCAAGGCTAGCATCTTGCTCGGCCACCCCGGCAACTGGGTCAGGCTTGGTGGCGACTTAAGGCGAGGGTGTGTGTACCGAAGACGGTGCGCGTTTAGGGGCTGGCAGCCCCATATACACATCAACAGAACAGATCTATGGATATTTTATATTTCATCAAATATCGAACGAAGAATTTCGTAATATAGTAAATGGAAAATGAGGTTATTTTATGGTCTTTAATAAAAAATGAAAATCATTTCGTAATTTTTTGTTTTAAACATAAATGTTATTTTTTTTTAATCGCCGTAGAAAATTTGTATGATAATAAAGGTCATTTTTCCTAATAAAACTATTAATTTTATTTAAAATTGAAAAAATCTTATAAAATCTAATTATTAATAATCAGTATTGCTACCTTTGACATAAATTACACATCTACATCGATAGTTCATACTTAAAATTAAATTGTTAATGTCTTGCTGTGGTATGAAGTCCCAAGTTATTTGCAAATGTTCGTAAAGTTGTTATCCCGTCGTCAAATTTGGCGGAAAATCTCTCAAACCTTTTCGTTGTAACATGCCCCAGGTATGCTTGATAGGATTTTAGTCGGGCGACTGTGAAGGCTAATCCAAAACTTAGTCTCGTATTGTGGCCGACACCAACTGCACCGTATGGGTCCATTAACGTGCATGAGCAGAAATTCCTGGCCCCTTTGGATTCTGGGTGGGAAAAGAACAGGCTGTACTATCTACTATTTGTGAATAAATGGTATCTTTCGTGAACTAACAAACATTCTGGTGGCCGATTTTTCAAACTTCATTTAAAATTTATTCATAATAAACAGGAGGTAAAATTAAAAATTTTGTAATTGACTTCAACATAAATAAAATGAGAACATCATCAATGTAGTCAAAGTTAATTAAATATGCATTATTAAGGGTAACTCAAAAACAACTTGGCAGATCTTGATCAAATGAATAAACTTCGGTACACATAAAATATATTCGATTTGTGAACCTTCCCCTTTTTTGAAGTCGACTGAAAATAAAACTTAAAAAACTTGAAAATTACAGCTGCATGAATAAAATAGTTCTATTGTTTGACTTTTATATTCAGTCAGGTTATATTTTATTCGATGGTAAATTTTTATCTGATGATGTAAAAATTGGCCCTAAACATGACAAAGTGTTATTTGACATAAGTAAATTCTATTTATATACATGATATTAGAAACTTCCATCCAACCATTTAGTGATTAATAAACTATTTGCATCCTTTACAGCCCTTCAAAAGTCCACTGCTAAACATAGGTTTCCCGCAAGGAATGCAACAAAATATGGTCCCCCGTCTCCTGCAGCCATCGACTTCCTGCATTTTGTACCAAATCATCACTCCATCTAGTAGGCAGGAGGGGGGCAGCCTATATATGCTCACCGGAAATGATATTTCCAAAAATTTATTTCGGTCAAGGCGGCCAGTCTCAAAGGAGACTGGCAATCTGCGCAGGACAGGATTAGTGCCTAAGTGTAAGCGCAAGCACAGGTGCACTCTCTATTCTCTCACTCTCATATCATTAATAGTCCATTGAATGAAAACAATTTAAGCAATTTTATCGCTTTTAATCTTTTTAACTTTTTTGGTTAATGTTTAGTTAATAAGTACGGGTACTGTAAGTTACTCAAAAAGTCAGGAATCTGCTCTCCTTCAGCTTTCAGAAACTCCGCCGTAATTTCTTCCTCACACTTTTTATGATGCAAGAGAGTGATTCTAATGTTGCTCAGTCTGACGAACGAAATATTACTAAAATAGTCTCGGAAGATATTTGCTCTTAGATCACCACTCATACTAACGTGTAGCTCCAACAATAATGTATATTATATCTGTATTTATAACCCCACTCAATCTTACTCAAAATCTTCGATCATCCAGAATTGACGCAGTCCAACTTTAATGATAATTGATTTTCTAACCTATAAATTCCTTTTATATAATATGCACAGACATATTATGTCTACAAGTCGTTTGAAAGACACTCCGTGCATAACAATGGGTTTGATAAGAAGGTCCTCTTGATATCCAATTAAAACTTTTCGCAATTATGTTGAGGAGGCCTGTGATTAAAAACAACTTTAATTGATTAATTTGTTAAAGATCATTTGTCCAGCTTAATTTGTTATCGAAATGCATACAAAGTAGCAAGATCAAAATCTACTTAAAAATTAAAAAAAATCTTTTAACGGTAAACTATACTGTTTAGGGATGAATGATAATTCCATCCATCAATTACAGCCTATCAAAATCTACTACTGATTACGGGCCTCCTAATTCATTACCTCGTAGGGTGGTTTTGCCACAGTTGCCACGTTTGACAGGTGGGTTGACAACTATCAACCGACATTTTTTTAGGAATTTCCCACCACGCAAAACCACATTATGAAATTTACTGTCACTAGCAGTTTTCCCACATCGACACAATTAAGGGCCCTTTAATCATTCTTAAATAGTAATTATAGTATAATTATAGTAAAGGCTGAATCTGAATAGTAGGGTGAGAAATTGTGTGATAAGAGAAAGTGTGGTTTGCAAGATGATGTTTTGACCAGCATTAAGAAAGGAATGCTTCGGTGGTTTAGCCATATAAAAAGAATGAACGAGAAATGAGTGTCAACGCAAAACTATGTTGCAGAAGTGAATAGCAGAGTCGGGAAGGGGAGGTTGCTTGTATGTATGAATGTATATGTACAATGCATATACGTAATAGAGCCACGCTACAGCTATATTATGGGTGTACCACGAATAGGTCGGCTCGACCGGGAAAGGACTACGCTCTCACTAAATATCATCGCAAAATAGCAGCTTAATGCTGCGGTTTCGTGTGGTATGTGTAGGTAACCGGAAACTCATTTTACTGGTAATGAGGGATTCCATTTTACTCCTCGGTGATAACAACGCATATGCATTTTGATACTTATTCGACGAAAATGTAGACACAGCAGTTGGACTGTGTGTTCGTTTAAAACCCCTTGTTCTATAAAAAAATGAATAAAGTATAGGATATAACTTTATCACTACTTTTATATTATTTATAATAACTAACGACCCGCTAGTCTATTATAAATTATATCGCGATGATTCCTGGATCTCGACAACAGTGTCACCTACCGGGTCCAATTGTGAATTCGAATCATCCAGGAACTCACTCCCTAACACACACAAAATATTTCATCAGTCCAAGCATTTAGGAGGCTACTTAGGTAAGGTTACTTAATAAATAGCAAAAGAACCAAAGAAATTATCATCATCATATCACCCTGTCTTACACCTCTCTGCAATTGGATAGGTTTCGTACTCTGGTTCTGTACTGTAAAGAAATTATACTTAAAATTATTATCT